AAAAACAAAGGAGAAGCATTTCTTTAGAGTCCCACATGAAGGTTTGTGAATGGGAGACCAACATTCTAGGTGGAGTCTCTTAGTTATTAAGTAATGAAAGGTACAGTCTACACATACCTCACAATGGAGATTGAACGGTTAGCCAAAGAGACAAGACACGGAAATGTTTGTTTATGATATGTGTTTGCATTGTGCACATTCTAGTGAGAAAGGAAAATACAGCCATTGCGAGCCCTGAAGCTGGCTATGTCATCTGCCCAAGAGACTGGATTGGATTTGGAAGTAAATGTTTTTATTTTTCTGAACACACAAGTGACTGAACATCGAGCCAGACTTCCTGCATGGAGCTGGGGGCCCATCTAACTCAATTTGACAGTCTGGAGGAGCTGGTAAGAAAGGATCGGGAGTTGGTTTGTTGTTTGTTCCTGTGGAATATGTATTGCCTTGAAATAGATAGCTTAAAGCTGGAACATGAGGAAAGTTCCTACCCTAGGCATTAGGCACATGTGGTACATGTTAGCATGTGTCATTTGTGATGGTAACATATCTGATATGGTGACACATTCTAAAGATATTCTTACCTATAGTTCTAATGGCCAGCCTGCAAAGCCAAGCATATATTTGCGAATCGTGGTGGTCATGCAAGCGTTTGTCCTTGCAAACTTAAGGTGACAACTGTAACTACCTGTAAATACAGACTTACCAAGGGACTTTCTGAGCCACAGAAGGATGGGTGGTTGTCAGTGTACTATGGGTTATGACTGTAAAATGCATCCACTGAGAAATGAGGGTTATTGGGCTTCAATGTTGATGACCCTCAGTTTAAACCTGCTGTCATCCTGAGAGGCATCTGTAGGACAGAGACTGATGGCTCATCTGAACCTGAGAGACTCATGTATTTGCTTTCTGTGTTTTTGACAGAATTTCCTGAATAGATACAAGGGGGATTCTTCTGCCTGGATTGGCCTGCAAGAGAATCATCAGAGCACCCTTGGATGTGGACAGACAACACTGAATATAGCAACTTGTATGTTTTCAGACTTCTTTTCTTCTTCTGTCTTCATGTATTGTGATGTGTGTGAGTTGTGGCTTTGAGAGATAAAAGGCTGAGTCATGAAAAGCCAACTGTAGTGGTATGGATGAAAAATAAACCCTTGGGCTGGAGGCGTGCCTTGGCACTGGTTGTGTGTTACATGAAACAGCTAGTCCCCAGTAACTCCACATCTTGGTAAATTTACATCTGTTAGGGTCACCTAGTGTTGTTTCACTCCAAATCTTTAGCCTAATGATGACTTAAGTCTGTCCTCTGGCTTCTACACTAGCCTTTCACATGTTAACTAAGGAAAGTTCTGAAACACTTTTTCAAAAGTTTGGAAGGGACACATAATACCCCCAGTTTATTTCTCTAAACAGCTAGATAAAGTCACCCTAGGCTGGACATTTACCCTAGGCCCTGGCCACAGTGGAATGGCTTATCCCTGAGACAAAGAAAATGCAGGAGAAGCAGAGCATAGCCCCCTCATGTGCAGTTCCTGAGATGCAGGAAGCATTTCCTTCCAGGCAACCCAGTGACAGCTAAGTGAGCTTGTTACTTGAGGGTAAAGAAGAAAACACCTACAGGCGCCAAGGATCGCTTCTATGGAGTCTGCATATGCATTTGGCAATGTTACAGATGATTCTGGTTATAGCAATTCTATTAGTGTACTTGTTCTTCACTATCTTTTTCTCTTTCCACACCAGTGGCTTCTGGAAATATGGATGTGCTGTATGATAATCTGAGTCTTCCTGATCTGATACAGTGGCAGGCACTGAAGCAGTAAAGCAGGTTATGGGGAAAAACCTGACTGATGAAAGAACTGGGGAAATTTGGGAAAATGCAGAAATTTTTTTTACCTGGTTATAAAACTTGGCAAAAGAATAATACTGAAACAGAAAAGAACTTGGTTATGATGAATAAAGTTTCTGAGGAACCTAGGGCTTTGGGGCTGACTGCCTACGGCCTTATAAATCAAAACTGGAATTGTGAGGAAAGACAATGGAGTGAAACCCACTGAACTATGCTTCTGTAACTGCAGGTAGTTTCCCTCTGAGGTAAAAGCCTCAGAAGTTGTTTTATGATTAATGAGCTAAGAATTAAGAATATTGTGGCTGTCATGGGAATTGGCTTCTGGGAAAACGTCATAATAAATGATGTTCTGATTTCAAAGAATCTTTATACTTCTTGTGAACTGGTTTGTTCAGTTAGTGATTAACCTGTGGCAAGTAAAAAAGAGTCATTTCCCTTGTGTAAAATTTGCAATAAAAGACTGAAGTGTGAAGCTCAAGGAAGAGGCAACAGAAGAAGAAGTAGAGGAAGAAGAAGCAGAAGAAGAAGAACTTTCCCTGCAGCTGATAGCCTGTCAGCTTGCATCAGAATCTTGTGGTAGTGTGTTTATTCTGCCTTCCAGACATCCCAGATTCAAGACCCACTTCTCTGCTGAGGCTGGTCCCTGGCAAGAAAACCTCACTTCAGAGCCCTCTACACATGCTCAGTACACACTCACTCAAGGGCCTCATCAGCCACTGAGATTTCCTAACTCTCCCTCCATCCAGAGTCTGGCTTTTCCATACTTACTATTATTAAATCACCGTCTTGTGTTTGGGCCGTACCCACTATCCACCCCACAACACTTCTCCAATAACCCCTCCAAGTCCTCTGACCTCCTTCCCTCTGAGACACTTGCCCTGTCTTCTAACTCTTTTGTCTATATATGGGATCACCTCCTGAAAAAGCCCCAGATTGTTTTACAGATGGGAACAGCCTAAAATAAACCCCTTACACAGCAGGATGTGCTGTGCTCAAGGGAACTCATCTGCTGAGGACCCAGCCCCCAGCAGGCTCCCAGGAAGTCAGAGAAACTGGAGAGGAGATGTGGGTAGACAAATTGTTGGACAGATGCCCAGACACACACGGGAACTGTACTGAGTGCCAAAGGTTTGCTTATTTTATTCTCCTCTTTGTTGGTCGTTCTTCCTCGTCTTACTCTTTTTTCTATTTTATTATTTATTTATTTATGTTTTTTTTTTTTTTTTTTGACCTGTTTTTCCTTGGGTAGCAGCCTTGGCTGTCCTGGAACCCTATCTGTAGATCAGATCAGGCTGGTCTTGATCTCACAAAAATCCACCTGCTTCTGCCTCCTGGGTGCTGTGATTTAAGGTGTGCACCACCACTGCCTGTTCTGTTCTTTTTCCCTGTTATTTCCACACTTCTTTGTCTTCCCAGCTGTCTCCCTTCTAATTTTTTGAGATGTTCTCCCTTTTATTTCTTCCCTGATATTCCCTTTACATCTTTCCTAATTTTTCCTTCTCTTATTTTTATTTTCCTCTTATTCCTTTTATACCTAAGCCAAAAATTTTCTTTTTTTATTTTTTACTTCATATGAGTACTCTGTCTGTGTGTATGTCAGTTTGTGAAGAGTATAAGAATAAGAAAATAAAAATGTAGATCCCAGAAATAAGAATGTAGAAATAAAGAAATGTAAATTTATAAGTCTAGGAGAATGAGAACAGACTGTCAGCAGTTTTCTCAGCAGATCAAGGACCAGTCATTTACAGTGAGCTATTTTCTCAGAGGCTTAAGAAGCCTCCATCAGCTTAGGTCATTTCATTTTACAATTGGCTGTTTTATTTACAAGGCCGGAGCTTCTCTCTGCAAACTGAGAGTAGTGTCCGGCCACCCGTGGGTAATGACAGATATGAACTGCGTTATCCCTTAGGAGACAAAGATATATGACCTCCAGGTTAGGCACTGTTTCTCTTATGGGAAATTGGCTCCATCAAAGGGGAGGCATGGGTCTCCAGTATACACTGCCTGGAGGTACCAGGACAGATAGTGGACAAGGTAGAAACACGGGTTTGACTAATGAGCTCTGATAATGGAGGTTATAAAATATGGCAGTCTGTATCTGAGTTTTACCTTGAGATAGTGTGAAAAACTTTCTGCTATCTTCTAAGAACCAATTATTCTAATTTATTAGCCCTCTGATATTACTACCAGTCCCTTTTCTGACTAATAGCTAAAGATATCTTTCTTTTCTTTTTTTTTTTTCAATTAGTGACTTTCATTGTAATCTCCTCTGAAACATATTTCATGATAGCTGCCTAGTTACCCATTGATGTTAGAATCCACTCACCTCCTTAAGGTCTCTGTTGACTGACCTGCAGTTCAGGGCAAAATTGTAAAAATACCTTTGTTCAGACCTAATGCTTGGTGCCCCTACTATAAAAAGGTGGGTTCAGAAACCAACCTTATCCCACAGCCTAACAAACACCATCTCTGGCTGTGGTCTCAGCTAGCTGATAAGCTTCTGTGCCCCATGGTGTTTTTATTTTTTTAAGTTTGTTTCTGGTTTTCCTGGAATCTGGTTTCTGGAATAAAGTTTGCTTCTGGTCTATTAGACTTTGGTGGTCTGTCCCCATCTTTGCTCCACTCCCCTCGGCCCAACATTTGCTGTCTTTTGGCTTTTAGATGCCATCAGTGAATTTCTTCCCGAGCGTTTCTTCCTTCTGCTCCTCCCTTGCTCTCTGTCAGTCCACCCACACCTGAGAATGCAGTTGGAGGCTGTGGGTGGTGGCACAAGGCATCGGGCAGTAGAGAGCAGCAGGTTGAGGTTACAAAGAGGCTTGAGTCACATAGTGCCTGGAGGCGTGGTCCATGGTTCCACACAGGGTTGCAGTTGTGGGCTGAGACCTGGGCGAGTTGATCCCAAGTGCCCAGTATTGCTTTGGGTGGTGGCCTCAGGCATCAGTGGAGACAATGACACCCTGCAGTCTGTCAACCTGGGGAGGGCAGCTGCCTGCGTTTGTTCTTAAACCTTGAGTATGATTTACGATGTGTGTGCATGGTGGTTCAGGTGCCTTGGCTCCAAAGTCTCACCAGGTCAGAATTTCTGGCTGGGACACGGAGTTGTTCTTGAGAGCCTGGTGAATAGGGGATCTCGAAACCAGGCGCTGTGGCCGTCATGTCTGAGGACTTGTCCTCGTCCATCAACAAGGACTACAAGAAGCTTCAGGAGATGACAGGTGAGAGCCCAGTGGCAAAGGGACTCTGTGACCCTTGTGTCTGGGCAGAAAGACTGGTGGATGGGCAGCAGGCCATGTCAAGATGGCAGTTGGGTTCGTGGGCAGAGCAGTGTGTCCCTGGGATTGTGGACCATGGGCACTTTAGTCCATTCCTGCATCCGCGCCACGACTCCTTCAAGTGTACCACAGCTGTCACCACACACAAGGCACTGGACAGTAAGTCTCGGCTTCTGGACTATGGATGTCATTTCTGCTCCTTGAAAGGTTGCAGCCAGTTTCTTCCAGGGGGAATTTTGTCTCATCCACCCTCGTGGTATGGACATTTGCTCATCTGCCCACATGGCATGGGATGCATGGTTCATCCTTCCATGAGAGTGAGATCTGAGAATCATGGGATCCTCAAGGTTAGGCAGTAGATTACTCTTAGTTCAGTAACTGGAAGATCCTGGTTCAAGTTGTGTTTCTGGTATCTCTGGTCTTCTTTCCACCATGGCCATTATTTTTGGACCATTATTTTTGAAAGAAGAAGCACTCTTTCAGGTACTTGTAGGTGATTGTAAAGTGGGTTTTTATTGTAAGTTCCTTTTATTTTCCTTAAGTAATTCTCGAAGTTAGCATTCTTATATTTGTATGTTACAGATAAGGAACAACAAGGACAATGTCTCAGAACCGTCTCCCCCGTGTCTCCTGCTAGGCTTTACTGCTGCTATGCAGTGATCATCGTCCTCACTGGAGCTATGATTGCAGTTTCTGTTGCTCTGTCATTGTCAGGTGAATGACATCTCCAGATCCTGCAGCATTCTGTCCACATCCACACTGTCAGTTACACTTACTGAGCCAAGTGAGCCAGGTACTGTGTGAAGGGCAGAGAGAAAACACAACTGGAAATTCCTGTTCTCTGGGAACTTAGGGTCTATCAGGAGGATGCAGTGAAGGAACACAGCACAGGCTGTGGTGTGGAGAGGAGGCCAGGCTCAGCATCCCTGGGAAGAAGCATCCATCTAGAGAGATGTTGTAGACATGTATACCTTGGAGAACTATTCAAGTCAGAGGACAAGGAAAAAAACCCAAGTAGGCGCCTCAAGGAAGCTGCTGTGGCTATGGGCAGTGAGGGCAATGAAGAGTAATATTGTTGGGGAAGGTACAGAACACTCCATCATTCCATGATTCATGTTTTCAGTTAATATCTTCACCTATGGTCTGAAAATATTAAATAGAGTGTTCCAGAAATATGCTGTTCCTTAGCTTTTAATTTTAGACTATTCTAAATACTGTGATAATGACTCATATAGTTTCCCAGCCATAGCTGGAGTAAGAATTCACGATATTGTTTTGTAAAATCTACTTTAACCATGTCAATGACAAATACACAAAGCTAAACATGGATAAATATTTGCCCACAAGACTTAGTACGTATAATCTAAACTGTCATGTGGCTCTAAGTAACAGTCACCCTCAGGGTCTGTTGCATTTTTTTCCTTTCATTAATGCCTCATGGTACTGTCTATAAGTACTGGAAACATTTACAACAAATTGTCCTCTACTAAAAATAGGTGTGTTTGTGTTATTTCTAGTATTTAATATTTCTTATCAAATCATTTATTTCTATTCTTAGTAGTCCTTCCAAAGAGCCATGTAGTCATTCTTACTTGTTAAAGGAAGAAAACGGCAAAGTTATGAAAGAAAAATATTATTTTTCTAAGCAGTCCTGCATTCAGAAATTCGTATACACAAACACATAAATACACATAATCACTCTATTGTGATAGACTCACTAATGAACACATCACACTGCTCCATTAACATTGCCACTCTGGCCAAGTCCCTAAACCTGAGCATTTCACTGAACTTCCACCCAGGTAGAATAGCCATTCTGAAGCCTTGGACCTTTGGTTATGGTTTTAGATTTTCATTGTAATTACATTTTTACACGCTTATTAGTCACAAATAAGAAAAATGATCAACAAAGTTGAAACTAGAACAGCAATGCTCTTTTTTAACGTTTTTATGACTTTGGGCCCTTTGCCTGCTTCTGTCCTTCCTCGTCACCTTATGTCACTCTCCTTGTTCTCCTAAGTGTTACACTGTGTCCTTACAGATGTTCACACTGTGCATCCCAGGCTGGGACAAGCATATGAGGGAGTGCATGGGGTCTCTTTCTTGCTGAGTTTGTGTGACCTTATTTAATTATATACTTTGTAGATTCCCCACTTTTCTACAAGTTTCAAGTTTTCTTTATGTCTGGATAACTTTATGTGTTACACATGGACCACATTTTCATTATCTGTTCATCAGTTGATGGACATCTAGGTCAGATCCATTTTGCTGCTATTGTACATGGGGCAGCTGTAGACATGGATGTGCAAATCTCTGTGTTACGATGTAGTGTTCTCTCATATATGCCCAGGAGTGGCATAGCTGAGTCACAAAAGGTCTGTTTGTAACTTTTTAAAGGAGACTCCATACAGGATGTATCAGTTTATACTCCCCCAGCAATAAATAAGTGTCCCTATTTCTGCAGAATTCTGTGAGATTTCTTCATAATTGCCATTCTGACAGTCTCTAACATGAGTCAGTATATTTGTGACTCATATGGATTTAATGTATGTGCACATGATAATAGGAAGGTCTTAATCAAAGTTTTGGTATCAAAAAATTATTTGACCATGCCTTGTTTTGCATGCTGGTATTTCTCCATAGTTAAATCAAGAGAAATGAGGAATCTTTATTTGGGCATTACAAAAGCAGGATTTGCTCTCCTTCCTTCCACTCTTCAACTGGACTTTGACAGCTTAGTCCAGTTCTCCGATGTGGGTTTCTGTTTCTGTTTCTGTCAGGTGCTGGATGAAAAGTCTGTGGTGATATTTAAGATATTCATCAGTCTGACTACAGGACAAATGAAGATTGGGCCCCTCTCCTCTATTGCTTAGGGTCTTAGCTGGAGTCAGCCTTGTATATTCCTGGGAATTACTCTAGAGAGAGGTTTCTGCTAGCCCTATAATGATTCCCTCAATCAAAATATGAAGGCGTAAGTCACAAACAATCCCATACCAGTTTGGAATTATGATTAATAGTATGGTTATTTATTCAAAGGGGAAAAAACTTACAGATTACCATCCCAGACAACAGCCCCTCTGCGGGATCAGGAAAGGAGTCTAGTAGCTGGAAGCCAGAGAGAGAATGGAGGACAGCTGCTGCTTTTTTAAAGAGAGAGAGACCACACCCCAATGGGCTGGTATCTCAGCGGTTATTGGCTGAAGGAGTGGAAGGAGCTCCCGCAGCATCTCCCCCTTTTGTTTAAGTAAGAGAATTCTAAGCCTACTTCGAAATTATATACAATAAGTACAAACCTACAAAATTATATACAATAAGTACAAATATCCTAATCTAACTAGCTTAAGTCTTGTACAATAAATAACTTGGCCAAGTCATGAGAGGAAAGTAACTACATTTATATAATCTTCAACCCCAAAGAAGATCTGAGAAGGGAAATAAGGTTACCTGAGTAATTAGGAAGTGCAATCAAACAACTTCCAGAACATGTAACAAATCACAGAGACAACTGGCTACCTGGGCAAACACCAAATAGTCACATTTGCAGCGTTGAAGCAACCAACTTTGGCTCAGGACAATCAGTTTATAATCTTATGGAGTCCTGTGTGTGATTTTCTTTGGGGCTTGCTGGTTGTGGGGTACTGGGGGGGGGGACGGAAATCCCCACAGCTGGCCCTCATGTTACAAAGATATCTTTCCTTGCTTTCACCTGTCCTTCCTTGATCTCTACTATCCCATTCCCTCAAGTTATCCTCAACCCTTCCCTTCTCCCCTCCTTTTCACCTTCCACCATCCCTTCTCCCCTAACTCCAATGCTCCAAGACCATGATGGGGTCACCCACTGAAACAGTCTACCTGAGCTAAGGGAAGCTCTCCAACTCCAGCTGGACTGGGAAGGAACACACATAGGACCAAACTAATACCTCTGAATGTACGTGACAGATGTATGGCTGGGGCAAATTGAGGGGACACTGGCTATGACACCAGGATTTTTCCTGACTGCATATACTGGCTTTTTGGGAATCGATTCTCTTTGGATGTACACCTTGCTCAGCCTAGATATAGTAGGGAGGGCCTTTGAACTTCCACAAAGCATTATGTCTTACCACTTCTGAGGATTGGAGGGGGTAGGAGGGTATGCGAAGGGAATGGGAAAAAGGGAGGAAGTGGGAACTTGGATTGGTATTTTTTAAATCTAATAAATTAAAAAAAAAGAAGGATGTGTAGCAGGATCATAGGAAAGGAACCTGTAGGATTCCAGCCATCAGGAAGAGTCCTCTTTGGGTAATGACTATGATTTTGTTCAGAGTATGGTGTATTCAGTCCATCTTCTTAGGAGGTACAGCCAGGTGGATTATTACAAAATCTAGACAAGTATAGTCTATAGAGTGGGATACAAACCAGGCAGGGGACATAGAGAGATTCTGTCCCCAAATTCAAAATACAAACAAGAGAAACATTTCCTTAGAGTCCCACATGAAGGTTCTTGGTGGGAGATCACCATGCTAGGAGGAGTCTCTTAGTGATCAGTAATAAAAGGTACAGTCTAAACACACCTCACAGTGGAGAGCTAATGGTTAGCCAAAGAGACATAACACAGAAATGTTTGTCTATGATATGCATTTGCACTGTGCACATTCTAGGGAGAAAGGAAGAAAAGGCCATTGTGAGCCCTGAAGCTGCCTATGTCACCTGCCCAAGAGACTGGATTGGATTTGGAGGTAAATGTTTCTATTTTTCTGAACACACAAGTAACTGGACATCCAGCCTGACCTCCTGCATGGAGCTGGGGGCCCATCTAACTCACTTTGACAGTCTGGAGGAGCTGGTAAGAAAGGATCGGGAGTTGGTTTGTTGTTTGCTCCTGTGGAATATGTATTGCCTTGAGATAGAGAGCTTAAGCTGGAACATGAGAAAGGTTCCCATCCTAGCAACTGCTGTGGCTCATGGCAGTGAGTTTGTTTGAAGGGAGTTTTCCTGCTGTAGTCCAGAGGAACCTTGTGTTGCTAATTATTTAACCCTAGGAGCCCTTCCATGTCATTGAGTCAGGACTGTTAACTGTCTTACCCATGGAGTGTGATGTTTACCAGTTCAATCTCCAAAAACATGAGAACTAGAAATAACAGTTAAAGAAAAGTCTGAAGAAAGAGACCAAGAACTTTCCTATGAACACCCAATATATTACTTGGATACCTAAGGCACCTATTTGAGTTCCTAGTTTCATAGATAAAAAGAATTGAAAAAAGCTTCAGACAGAAACTTCAGGACTATCTCACTGACATTTTAGAGAGAAAGAAAAGGAAAAAGAAAGCACATATTGGGAGCTAAAGATCCTGGGCCCCTTCATTTTCTTTGCCTGGTGGAGTGAACTGAGCAAAACACCTGTGCCTGCAGGAGACCTTGCCTGCAGCTGCTCTGAGCAAGAGGCCTGAATCTGAAAGATCCTGAGAGCTGGGCGTGGCTATTAGTTATCCCTATACAAGCTGCCCCTGTGCACAATAAAGCTGAGCATTTGGCATTTGGCATTCTTGAATCAAGGATGACCTGTGTCCCTGTCTTCTCGTTCTGTCTCTCTGTCTGTCTTTCTCTGTGTGTATGATTTTAAATCTTCAGGCCCCATTTCCTAAGCTCCCATACTAGGCCTGTAGTGGCAAGGGAGATGTAGTACCACTTCAGATTTTCTCAAGAGGAGGTTCCCCCCCCCCACCCTGTTCGAACAAGATGCGGTTTTTACAAATGCAGCTCAGGTGGAGGACAGTTGCCAGGACAAAGAAAGGAATAAATAAGAATACAAAAATGCTGATTTAGAGATTGGGGAAGCAGTCAGGCTGGGCAGTGGGAGTCTGCCAGCAGCTGCATGGGGGTGGGCATCTTTGCAGGCAGGCTTAGCAGTGGGATCTGAGAGGGACTGCAGTAGGGGAGGGGATTCTGGGTGTGTTCATGCTTTCTGTATTAAAGGGATGGTTAGTTCTCTCATCTTCTGTGTCTTCTCACCTTGTCTAAAAGAGCAATCAGTCCCTTTTCCTTTCCTTCTCGTGTCTCCATCTTTGTCCCTGTTTCTCTATCCTGCCCTCTAACAATTTCCTAACTCAGGAAGCAGAGCTTTTTCTTCCCTCTCCTTCTCTCTCTCCCTCTCTCTGTTGGGAGTATAGTTCGAAGGTCCTTGAGCCCACAAATCTCTATAGAAACCCAGAATATTAAGCATACAGGATTGTATTTCCAATGGAAAAAAAATGAAAATTCTGTTCTGACATCCAGAAAGCAGGGAATTGGAAATGATTAGTGATTAACAACCTGGAGATCTGTGTTATCTGTTGGGTCACATCATAACAAGATCTTACACCAAGACGGGAGGTGACTAGTTATCTAATAGCCAGAGGCTCGACCAATCTCCCACAACCAGGACTAGAGCTGGCTAGCAGCCCAAATGATCTCTACACTGTCCTTATGAATGAGAACAGGGCAGATGCTTAGACCCTTAAGCTAGCACAGGTAGCTTATCTCTAGACCCATCTTCATGGAAGAAATGATATGTACTCTGAGTTGAGTCTCAATGAAATTATGCTGCCTTGTGCAATGGGAATTGTATCAGATCAAGAAGCTCTTTTCCAAACTATACTGGGCTTAAATACATTGGGAATAAATCGCCTGTTATTAGACTCCCTTAAGTCTGATTCAGGTTAATGAAGTCAATCTGCATGGGTTTTCATTCTTAGCTCTTAATGGGCCTCCCTTCCCTGGATGACACCTGCAGGCTCCTCCACTTTTCATTCTTCTTCTTCTTCTTCTTCTTCTTCTTCTTCTTCTTCTTCTTCTTCTTCTTCTTCTTCTTCTTCTTCTTCCTCCTCCTCCTCCTCTTCCTCCTCCTCCTCCTCCTCCTACTCCTCCTCCTTCTTCTTCTTCTTGACTGGGTTTTTCTTATATCTTTCTCTGGATGCTGACCCAAACTTTAAACCTGCTTACTGACTCACTTAGCAATCTCCATCTCCTGAAGACTTCCCACCCCCATGCTTGTAGATTTTCATGGCTGAGCTTGACTGCTTCCCTGGTCTCTGCAAGCAGCCCTTTTACACTCTCACCAGCTCTCTCCATAATGCCCCCAACTCGGTGTTAGTAAGCCCAAGTGTGCTTATCACCTGGTCCAGGACTTCCAGAAAAAACACCCAGGCAGTTGTTGATAGTTTCCCTGTGGTTGATAATCCATACAGGTATTATAAGGGGGGGTGGGTGGCGCCCTTTGTTTGTCCCAGCCACCTGGCTAGCTTACACCTAAAATAACCACACAGAAATTTTATTAATTAAATAATTGCCTGGCCAATTATCTCAAGCCTCTTATTGGCTAACTCTTACATATTAGTTTAACCCATCACCATTAATCTGTGTATCGCCATGTGACAGTAGCTTACTGGTAAAGATTCAGCATGTCTGACTCTGGTGGTTCCATGGCGGTTCTCAGACTCTGCTTTCTTACTCCCAGAATTCAGTTCTGTCTTCTCTGCCTACCTAAGTTCTGCCTTATCAGGCCAAGAAGATTTCTTATTGATTAACCAATAAAAGTAACACATAAACAGAAAGACCACCTACACCATACAGGCCATCCTTCCATCCCCTCCTCTGCTGCCATCTTTTCTGTCTTCAATCTTAAAGATGCCTTCTTTACTATCCTTCTGCACCCATCCTCCCAAGCCACGTTGGTCTTCACATGAGAGGACGTAGACACTATGCCCAGCATCTCACCTGGATGGTTTTGCTCCAGGGATTCTGAGACAGCCCCACTACTTTGGCCAGGTCTTACAAAAGGACCTCACGTTCCTAGACTAGTTCCCTCATCTCCTTCTCCACTATGCAGACGATCTCCGCTTATGCAGCCTTCTCCACAGACCGATCTCCCACACTCCATGAACCTCTTAACTGGCTGCTGGCACCTATAAGATTTCCAGAGACAAGGCCCAGATCTGCCAGCCATCAGTCACCTATCTGGGCCTGTCAATCTCAGGAGAGGGAGAACTATTCCCACAGTCAGGTTAGAGGAACTCCTTGCCTTCCCCACCCACAAACCAACGTGAGCTGTTTGCATTACCAGCCCTCTTTAATTCCTCTGCATAGGGACCCTCAACATTTCCCTTGCTGCTCAGCTCTCTATCATGGCTCTCAGGGGCCCCTAGAGCAATCACCTTCCCCTCCATCCCTCCTTTCCCCATAATCACACTTAAGTCTGTCCTCTGGCTTCTACACCAGCCTTTCACTTGCTAACCAAGGACAAGTCCTCAAAACACTTTGCCAAAAGTTGGGAGAGGACACCATTTCCCCCTGGTTTGTTTCTCTAAAGAGCTAGAATAGTCACTGCAGGCTGGACATTTACCCCTAGACCCTGGCCGCAGTGAACTGCTTTTCCCTGAGACAAAGAAAATCTCACCTCACAGCCCCCTACACATGCTCAGTACACACTCACTCAAGGGTCTCATCAGCCACTGAGATTTCCTAACTTTCCCTTCATCCAGAGCTGCTCCATACTTACTAATATTAAATCACAGCCTAGTACTTGGGCCATGTCCACTATCCACCCCACCACACTTCTCCAATAATCCTTTCATGTCCTCTGACCTCCTTTCCTCCACTATGAGACACCTGCCCTGTCTTCTAACTCTTTTGCCCTTATATTGGATCACCCTCTGAAAAAGCCCCAGATTGTTTTCCAAATGGAAACATTTTAAAATAAACCCCTTACCCAACAGGATATGCAGTTCTTCAAGGGAACCCTGCTGCCCCGGGGCCCAGTGCCCAGCAGGCTCCCAGGAAGTCAGAGAAACTGGAGAGGAGATGTGGGTAGGCAAACTGTTGAACAGAAGTCCAGACACACATGGGTACTTCATCTGAGGGCCAAAGCTTAGTTCATTTTTCTCTTTGTTGGTTGTTGTTTCTCTCCCTACTCTTCTTTTCTAATTTATCTATTTACTTATTTATTTATGGTTTGTTGAGACAGGGTTTCCCTTGTATAACAACCTTGGCTGTCCTTGAACTTGATCTGTAGAACAAGCTGGCCTTGAACTCACAGAAATCCACCTGCTTCTGCCTCCCGGGTGCTGGGAATGAAGGTGTGCACCTCCAATGCCTGGCCTGTTCTGTTCTTTTATCCTCTTGTTTTCCCCTTTCTTTGTTTTCTCAGCTTTCTCCCTTCTAATTCTTTGAGATGTTCTTTCTTATATTTCTTCCCTGATGTTCCCTTTATATCTCTCCCTATTCTTATTTTTCCTATTTTTATTTTCCTCTTATTCCTGTTATACCTAAGACAAAATTTCCATTCTTTTTTCATCTCATATGAGTACTCTGTCTGTATGTACACCAGTTTGCTGTCTTTTGGCTTTCACATGCCCTCAGTGAATTAATTTCTTCCTGAGCATTTCTCTGCTCTGCTCCTCTCTTGCTTTCAGCCACACCTGAAAAGGCAGCTGGAGGCTGTGGGTGGAGCCAGGGGCTTCTGGCCAGAGGTCAGCCCTTAGCTGGCAGCCCATAGGCCTGTGGAGAGCACTAGGCGGATTTAAGTTGCAAGGCAGCACCAGACAGGTTGCGCTTGGTAGTATGGTAGACTGGAGAGGCAGTGTCTTCACACCAGGTCAGAGTTGTGGTCTGAGACCAGAGCAGGTTGATTCTGAGAGCCAGGTGAATGGGGCAATCGCAGAGCCAGGCACTAAGGCCATTATGTCTGAAGACTTGAGCAGCCCGTCCTCTACCATGGATAGGAACTACAAGGACCCGCAGGAGATGACAGGTGAGAGCCCCGGAGGAGGGAAGATGGGCAGAGACTCTGGGCACAAGCCTGAGGGCACTTCCTGGGGTTGGGCTCCCTTCTCAGGGAAAGACTTATCTGAGACAGATATGTCCTGGGCAGAAAGGCGCGTGGATGTTTGGCAGGTTACAAGGTAGCAGTGGGGTTCATGGGCAGAGCAGTGTGTTCCTAAGATTGTGGACCATGAGCACTTTAGTCCATTCCTGCATCGGCGTGATGACTCCTGACTCCTTCAAGTGCTCCTCAAAGACTCTAGAGAAACTTTAAAAGAGTGCTCAGCTAACCATCAGTTTTCCTTGACACAAAATGTGGTCATTTAATTTCTTTTCACGAGGTTGTTTCTTCAAGGTGGATACTGGGGCCTGTGATTAATTCTATAAGCTACATGACCAAGGAACTGTGGCCTAAGTTTGAATACAGAGACAAAGTTTTCTTGATTATCAGTCTGTTTTTCCAGAGGCAGAATTCATGGGTCTATAGTGCGTGAAACTTCCTTCTTCTTAGTTTCTATCCTTGGCAAATCTCACCTCTAACAAAGGGGAAGACAACTTTTAGTCTATTTTTTCCTTTTTATGTGTCTCTTATCAAAGCAATTGTCCCAATTACCTAAACCATTTTCCTAATCATCTTTACTGTCTTAACTACTTATATCTTTTAGGCGAACTCAGAAAGTTCGATTAAATCATTGATCTAACTAAGCATCACTGCTCCCACAAAAATAATCTTCATCATGATGTGCAAGTAAAGTGTCCAGTGAGGAGTGGGATTTAATGATACCAAGGTCAGATACAGCAGGATCATAGCCACAGCAATCAGGAGGAAGGACAGTAGAAGTAAGGGGATTTTGGAACTCAATCCCGCCTCCTCCTTGCCCTCTGTTGCTCCTCCCAACTGGGATTTGCCTCTTCAGGGTTTAGATTTACTATTCAGTGAATTGAACTCCATAAGCTCCCTTGCTGACTGTAGCTCCTCTGACATAAGCACTGGCAGAACCCCACTAGTCCTACAAGTCCACACTTAGTAGAAGTCAAATCCCTACTCTCCACACAGCTTCCCAGTGGCAAAACTAACTGTTCCTATCTGAGCTCTCACACTTGCTTCCAGTCTTAGAGTCAACATATACACTGGTTTCAAATACATCTGCAGCATAGCACATGCAACACCTTACTCTGGAGAGAAAGGGTTTTCCTAAGCAAAAGAAAATATTAATAATGAACTCCCTTTTCATACTGAAACAAAGTAATTCTCCTTCCTAAGCAGCCATTGCCTACAGCATGGGACAGTAAAAATGATAAATCATTCTTTTCTCAAAATCAGGCTGACCAATGTCCCAGCAGACTGCCCTGTCATGTTCTACCTCTGCTCCAACAACACCAACACCATCTCCAGAGCCAGTCTTGTCCACTGAAGACACTGCTTCCCACAGCTGTCACCACACACAAGGCACTGGACAGTAAGTCTCGGCTTCTGGACTACGGATGTCGTTTCTGCCCCTAGAAAGTTTGCAGCCAGTTTCTTCCAGTGGGAATTTTGTCTCATCCATCGTCATGGTGTGGACATTTGCTCATCTACCCACATGGCATGGGATGCCATCCTTTCATGAGAGTGAGATCTGAGATTAATGGGATTCTCAAGGTTAGGCAGTAGATTGCTCTTAGTTCAGTAACTAGAAGACCCTGGGTCAAGTTGTGTTTCTTGTATCTCTGGTCTTCTTTCCACCATGGCCATCCTTTATGGACCAGGGTCTTCATGAAGGAAGAAGCCCTCTTTCAGGTACTTGTAGGTGATTGTAAAGTGAGTTTTTGTTGTAAGTTCCTTTTATTTTCCTCAAGGAATTCTCAAAATTGTCATTCTTATATTCATATTTTACAGATGAAGATCTCCAAGGACAATGTCTCAGAACCGTCTCCCCCGTGTCTCCTGCTGGGCTTCACTGCTGCTGTGCAGTGATCATCACCCTCACCGTAGCTGTGATTGCACTTTCTGTGGCTCTGTCATTGTCAGGTTAGTGACATCTCCAGATCCTGCAGCATTCTGTCCACATCCACACTGTCAGTTACACTTACTGAGCACTGTGAGCCAGGCACTGTGTGAAGGGCAGGAGAGAGAACACACCGGAAATTCCTGTTCTCTGGGAAGTTAGGGTCTAGCAGGAAGATGCAGGGAAGGGACAGCACAGACTGTGGTGTGCACAGGAGGCCAGGCTCAGCATCCCTGGGAAGAAGCATCCCTCTAGAGAGATGCAGGAGACATGTCCATCTGGAGGAACAATTCGAGGCAGAGGTCAAGGAGAAAAAACCCAAGTAGGCGCCTTAAGGAAGCTGCTGTGGCTAGGGGCAGTGAGGGCAGTGAAGATTAATATGGTTGGGGCAGGCACAGAACACCCCACCATATCATGATTTATGGTTTCAGTTAATTTCTTCACCAATGGTCTGAAAATATTAAGTAGAATATTCCAAAAATATGCCGTTCCTGAGCTTTTAATTTTAGACTAATCTGAATAATTTGATAAGTCTTATAAAGCTTCTCTGCAGTAGCTGGAATAAGAATTTGTGATATTGTTCTATAAAATCAACTTTAACCATGTCAATGACCAATACACAAGACTAAACATGGACAACCTTTTGCCCACAAGACTTATTATGTATAATCTAAATTGTCATGTGGCTCTAAGTAACACTCACCCTCAGGGCCTGTTGCATTGGTTCCTTTCATTAAAGGCTCATTGTAGTTTGTATAAGAACTGGGAAAAGTCACAACAAATTGCCCTCCACTAAAAATAAGTGTGTGAGCGTCATTTCTAGTATTTAATATTTCTTATTAAATCATTTATTTCTATACCCAGTAGCCCTTCCAAAGAGCTATACAGTCATTCTTACTTGTAAAAGGAAAAATATATAAAGGTATGAAGGAAAAATGTTATTTTTCTCAGCAGTCCTGCATCCAGAACTTCTTACACGGACACACACACACACACGCACACATACACACAAACACACACACACACATACACACACACACAATCACTCTATTATGATAGACTCACAAATGAACACATCACACTGCTCCATTAGCATAGCCACTCAAACACTGGCCAAGTCTCAAACCCTGTGCATCTCACGGAACTTCCAACACTTAGAAAAGCCATTCTGAAGCCAAGGAGCTTTGCTTGTGGTTTTAGACTTTCACTGTATTTACATTTTTATAAACTTATCAGCCACAAATTAGAAGAAGCACCAGCAAGTTGAAACTAGAAAAGCAATGCTCTTTATAACTTTTTTAAAATTACTTTGGGCTCTTGCTACGTCCTGTCCTTCCTTGTTTTCCTGTCCATGTGTTACACCATACTCACACCCATAGCTGTTCACACTGTGCACACCAGGCTGGGACAAGCATATGAGGGAGTGCATGGGGTCTCTTTCTTGCTGAGTTGTGTGACCTTATTTAATATTATACTTTGTAGATCCCCCACTTTTCTACAAGTTTCAAGTTTTCTTTATGTCTGAATAACTTTCTGTGTTACACATGGACCACATTTTCATTATCTGTTCATCAGTTGATGGATATCTAGGTCAGGTCTATTTTGCTGCTATTGTACATGGGGCAGCAGTAAACATGGATGTGCAGGTCTCTGTGTTACGATGAAGTGTTCTCTCATATATGCCCAGGAGTGGCATAGCTGAGTCACAAAAGGTCGATTTGTAGCTTTTTAAAGGAGCCTCCATAATGGATGTATCAGTTTATACTCCCACCAGCAGTGAATAAGTGTTCTTATTCCTGCAGAGTTCTGATATCTGTTGTGAGATTTCTTGATAATTTCCATTCTGACAGCCTCTAATGAGAGCCAGCATACATTCATATGGATTTAACGTATGTGCACATGATAACAGGAAGGCCTCCATCAAAGTTTCAGTATCAAAAAATTATTTGACCATAACATGTTTTGCATCCTGGTATTTACAAAAGCAGAATGTATTCTCATTATTCCAACTCTTTAACTGGACTTTGGTGGCTTAATCCAGTGCTCTAATGTGGGTCTCTGTTTCTGTCAGTTGCTGGATGAAAGTTATATGGTGATATTTAAGATATTCATCAGTCTGACTACAGGGAAAATCAAGATTGGGCTCCTCTCTTCTATTGCTTAGGGTCTTAGTGGGAGTCAGCCTTGTAGATTCCTGGAAATTTCTCTAGAGACAGGTTTCTGCTAATCCTGTAATGACTCCCTCAATCAAGACATCTTTCCTTGCTCTCATCTCTATCCCTTCCTTTATCTCGACTATCCCATTTTTTTCAAGTTCTCCTCACTGCTCCCCTTCTCTCTTCTTCTTTACCTTCCACCCTCATTTCTCCCCTCACCCCCAAGCTCCAAGACCATGATGGGTTCACCCACTAACGCAGTCTACCTGAGCTAATGGGAGCTCAACAACAGATACGGAATGCTTATTTAAAGAGACAAGACACAGAAATGTTTATTTATGATATGTATTTGCACTGTGTACATTTTAGGGAGAAAGGAAGAAAAGGCCATTGCGAACCCTGAAGCTGGGTATGCTACCTGCCCAGAAGACTGGATTGGATTTGGAAGTAAATGTTTTTATTTTTCTAAACGCACAAGTAACTGGACATCTAGCCAGACCTCCTGCATGGAGCTGGGGGCCCATCTAACTCACTTTGACAGCCTGGAGGAGCTGGTAAGAAAGGATTGAGAGTTGGTTTGTTGTTTGCTCCTGTGGAATATGTATTGCCTTGAGATAGAGAGCTTAAAGCTGGTACATGAGGAAGGTTCTCACCCTAGGCATTGGGGTGCATGGGATACTTGTTGGTATGTGCCATTTGTGAAGCGAACACATCTGGCTGTATTCCTGAGACATTCCAAAGGTATTCTCTCCTGTATAACTCATAGTCAACCTGCATGGCCAGATATATATTTGCCTGAGAAACATAGTGGTCATACAAGTCTTTATCTGCTCTGACAGGTGTTGCAAACTTAAGGGACTTTCTCAGACACAGAAGGATGGGTGGTTGTCTGTGTACTATGGATTATGGCTGTAAAGTGCATTCACTGAGAACTGAGGGTTATTAAAACTCTGAAGACAATTACTCTCAGTTCAATACTGCTGCCATCTGGAGAGAAGGGTGTAGCAAGAGACTCAAGGCTAATCTGAAACTGAAAGACACATATACTTTCTTTCTGTGTTTTATGACAGAATTTCCTGCATAGATACAAGGGGGATTCTGCTTCCTGGATCGGCCTGCATAGAGATTCATCAGAGCACCCTTGGATGTGGACAGACAACACCGAATATAACAACTTGTATGTTTTCAGAATGCTTTTTCTCCTACTGTGTTAACGTGTTGTGATTGTGTGAGTTGTGGTTGTGAAAGGTGAAAGGCTGAGTCATGTGAAGAGAATGGAACTGGGAAGGGAGAAACCCTTGGACTGGAGGTGTGCCTTGGCGCTGGTTGTGTCTTACATGCAACAGCCAGTCCCCAGTAACTCCACTTCCCAGCAAATTTACATCTGTTAGGGTCACCTAGTGTTGTTTCACTTCAAATCTTTAGCCTATTGATGGCATCTGTGGTAGATGCTGCCTGCTATCAGCACTTGGAAATCTCTCCTTGCTGATAACTGCCCTTGTGGAATGCAGGCAGAACTGCTGATGGCCACTAAGGGCTCTGAAACCCCAGGAAGCCACTGCAGAACTGCTGGACAGGACTTGTCAGACAGCTGTGTGCCCAGCTGCACCTGTCACAGAAACAGACTCCAGGGGCACTGGGAACCTTCTCTAAAGTCTCATCATCCAAGAGCACCCAGGGCAGCACTTGGATGTTAGCATAGGCATTTTTAACAATCCCTTTTCACTGGAACAGTGAATGTCCATCAATAAAGACCTTTAGAATTTACTAAGTGCATTTTCTCCCACTTTCATACATGTGAGAAATTCTCCAAGATAAAATTGAAAACCACCCATGCGATGCTACTCATGACTGAATGAAGTTCATGTGAACATGGCAGAGAGCACCAGTCAAATGCTTTTGTACACACAGTACAGGGTCTAACATGGATGAGTGACAAAGGTATGGTCACCAAATGGAACCCTGAGAATGGAAAAGTCACTGGGTGTAACACTAGTGCTGGTGATTCCTCATGGACTCTGCCTTTCTGTAATTCGTGCTATAAACAGCAGTGGACGTGAGTGAGATATCATTGCTGGGGGAAGTGCAGTGGTCGACCCTGCAGAAATTTTGTTTGTTTTTTGTTTTAGGGTTCCCACCCGAGGAGAAGGAGAACATGCCTACCTGAGTGACAATGGGATCAGCAGTGGCAGGAACTACATACATAGGAAGTGGATTTGTAGCAAGCCCTACAACTATACTTTACAGTGTCCAGGTGTTTAACAGTTTGTTTAGAGACTGAGTCAATGTAATCATGAGAGATCTGTAACATGTTATCTACAATTACAGCCTCATTTCTTTAACTTCTGAAGTTATTAAAATCATTTCATAATCTGTGGTGACATTAGAGATGAAAACTACCATAGAGGACTATACTTATGGGGACTTGGGAGACTATGGGTGATTCTACATTAAATAAGTGTTTGGTATGGGTTTGTACTCTCATCATAAACCTGAATTTCAATCCCATCATTCAGTAAAACAACATTTCTCTGTGTTCTATTCATTGTTCATTGTTGCCCCCTTTGTTTCAATCTATTTTATTTCAGATTTAATTCACTATTTCTCAAATAAATAAAACTTTCTCCTTTTGAAATTATTTTGTTTTTAGAAGTTTTAATTATCTTAGTTAAAGTACATATTAATCCCAAAGTCTGGGGAGAAGGATCACTGACCCCAATTTTCATGACCAAATTAATTAGTTAAAGCAGGTCTTTTTATTTGTGTACATGAACTGCCTCCCCTGAGGTGGATTTGAGAGGTCAGCATGGGAGGGGAGGGACACAAGATTTTTATAAAGCTCAGGGTAGGGAGTTTCCAAATAGTGGACTTGACAGGTGAAAGAGGTGGGGTTACAGGAGCAAAACATAAATTACATTTATGTCCACCACAGGCTCCTGAAACAAAGACAAGGCTGCAAAGGGGGCACAAGGAGGTAGTCACTGGTAACAGGGAGTCAAAAGGTGGTAATAGGTGGTCATGTAACTTTTAAAACAAATATAGGGTTACACATGGTTATAAACAACGTTTGGAAACAAAGACCTGATTGCCATTCCTGGAACAGACAGTACAGAACCATTTGTAGCTAGGCTTACAGATGGGCATATGCCAATCCATGAAAACAGAGGTTTAATCATAAACAGGAAGGAACCTGTTTTGTCTTTCCTATAAGATAACTTCTGAGTCTAAGTTGAAGGCAGGCTGGTTCTTCCTACACTTCATTCCATGCCTCAATTCTCTCTCCTTTCTTGTGGTTCCATTTCTCTGAGACACAAAGAGTTTCATGTGCTTCCTGAGTGACTATTCTACTCCAACAGGTAAAGTCAAAAAGCTACCTGACAAGTGGAATCCAGTTATAAGTGGGCTTATTGGGAACAGCTGAGGATTGGAAACAGAAATTCTTCCTCTTTAGTTCCAATTTCTGTCTTTCTGTCGCTGAGACGCAGTTCAGAGGTAAGTGCTGCACAGACTGCTGAAGTCAGAATCATCACACTAGAGCTCCTACAGGAGGGATGAATAGGTATATATTTAATGCAAGCTGAATCAACCTGAAATGGCAAAAGGAGCTTCATATAGGAATCACAGAGGAGCTGAAGCTCATGAACGTTAGTTTGTCAATGTGGGTCTCTCTCTGCTGTAGAGGAGAAGCTTGGGGGCCTCTCTTACATTAATAACTCTTTCGGACTATGTCATGCTTAAGTATAACCAGGCAAGAGAAATGGGCAATGGATTAATGACAAGTCTTGAGTCATAGCTTTTATTTGGCCAGCGAATAAAGTGAGGACGTGACCATTTCCAGGTAGGTTTGAGGGGAAGGTTTTGTTGTAGATATGAGGAAGAGCAGTCAAAGGCATCTGGAAGAGTCCACAGTGGGGAGAGAAAGGAGTAGACTAAACCTGGCCAGCAAATTCAACTTGGCCTTGAGAGAATGAAGAGCAGAGGAGAGTGAGAGAGGAGGACCAAGAGAGGGAGATAAAGAGAGAGCATGGCCAAAATGGCAGGGTTATGTAGGAATGAGAGATTGGGAAAGGGAAGCCAATGAGCTGGGGTTTAGAGTAGGGGCCAGGGAGAGAGGAGCTGAGAGGAGTCACCAGTCCTGAGTGAGCCTGGAGGCCAGCATGCATTGTGGGATGGTAGTAGCATGGAAGTCTGTCATTTGTCCTGAGTTTATTCTGGACCTGAGTGTTGGTTTATTTGTGTTGGGGTTTTCTTTTTATTTGGTTTGTTTTTAGTGTGTGCGTGTTCATGTCCGTGCATGTGCGTTTGCATGTGTGTGTGTGTGTGTGTGTTTAGATTTCTAGTCCACTCTGTCTGTTAATTTGCACTCTGCTGAATTACAAGAAATTGCTGTGGACCATGCTCCTTATGTCCCAGAGGGAAGGAAACTCTAACAGCACAGCTCTCAATGTGCACAGCTAAGGAAGTTCCCTGTGGGGCTGGGGCCTGGGGTTTTCAGATCCAGTGTGATTCAAAGGGAAGGAGGGGAGGGGAGGTGCAGTGACGGCTGAACCCCACTCCAGCAAGTTCTCTGGAATTTCTGGTGCATGTTAAATTTTGGAAAGGAAGGATCTTCTGGGATTCCTGTTTCAGTCTACAGAAAGGAACCTGTCTTCTGGATTTTGAAAACGGTCTGTTTCTCTCTTTTATTTTTATTACTTTATTCCCACTGTTCTTACTTGAATTTTTCTTTGTTCACTTGCTTGTTTTTGTAAAGAATATTGGGTATCCTGGGAAACAGTGTTCATACAATGCAAAGAGGCAAATTTGTGAGGATCGTAGATGTTTTCAGATAAGCCAAATATTCCATAACTGAAGCCATTTTCTTTTTTTCCATTTGCCACAACTCAGAGTTCTTTGAGAGAAGCTAGCGCAGATGAAATTTATCATACCATTTTATTTGGTGTGTATATACTTTAGAGTATCCTTTATAAACACTTTGAATTTAATTTTCAAAAAAATAGTAAGAAAAACAAGAGAGAAAATCTCTATATGTGGGTAAAGAAACAAATAACATTTAGGAGTGAAACAGCCAAATGGATTCTTACCAGGGACATTGACAATAAGAGTGGTGCATTACCTGATTAAAGATGAGAGATGCTGTGAGAATTCTAATGCACTATATACAGAGGACGTCTTTGTTTAATGTACAGCTGGAAGGAAGGAAGGAGGGCTGAAAATTCTCTGTGGAGCCAACTCTAAGGGACACTGACTATGATGTCACCAGACAGAAACACTGGAGAGCCTCACAGTTTGCATCACTTGTTAACTTGTTAATTGGAGGCCACTTCTTGGCTTGTTTTATTAATGAAGAAATTTTAAAAATCAAAACAAAGCAGAACAAAACAAAAGTCATGAAGCTCAATATTATTTGAATTTTGGAGAAAGTGACAAGGGAGACATCTCTGGGCAGCCACTGTGACTGTGTTGTGAGGGAGAGAAACACAGAGAAGACAGGGAAAAAACAGCCTGTTAAGTCAACCACATCCATTCAACCATGAGGATTAAAGAGGAGTCACATGGCAGCAAGCAGCAAGGTAGGTCCAGAGAAAAAGTGAAAAAGTCTGACTTTGGCCAGCATCCTAAAGAGAGAGAGAATCAGATCATGGAAAAGCTCAGATCTTCTGATTTAGAACTCAGAAAAGCCAGCAAGCTTCACAGACTGCTTGGTGCAGCTCCACAGGTGACCACAGAGTGGAGTTCCTGGAAAAGAAAAGTACATTATCTCAGTAGAGAAAGACTCTCTCCTGCAGTCTCTTTCCCAATATCCAGGAGGATAACTATATTTTTCTTTGGGTTCACCTTCTTATTTAGCTTCTCTAGGATCATGAACTATAGGCTCAATGTTCTTTGTTTATGGCTAGAATCCACTTATGAGTGAGTACATACCATATTCCTCTTTTGGGGTCTGGGTTACCTCACTCAGTAAAGCGTTTTCTATTTCCATCCATTTGCATGCAAAATTCAAGATGTCATTGTTTTTTACTGCTGAGTAGAACTCTAAAGTGTATATGTTCCACACCTTCCTTATCCATTCTTCTATTGAGGGGCACCTAGGTTGTTTCCAGGTTCTGGCTATTACAAATAGTGCTACTATGAACATAGTTGAACAAATGCTTTTGTAGTATGATTGGGCATCTCTTGGATATATTCCCAAGAGTGTAATTGCGGGATTCTGAGGTATGTTGAGTCCCAGTTTCCTGAGATACTGCCACACTGATTTCCAAAGTGGTTGCACAAGTTTGTATTCCCACCAACAATGGATGAGTGTTCCCCTTACTTTACAAACTACTCCACAAACTCTCCAGCATAGGCTATCATTGGTGTTTTTGATTTGAGCCATTCTGACAGGTGTAAGATGGTATCTCAAAGTTGTTTTGATTTGCATTTCCCTGATCGCTAAGGAGATTGAGCATGACCTTAAGTGTCTTTTGGCCGTTTGAACTTCTTCTGTTGAGAATTCTCTGTTCAGATCAGTACCCCATTTTTTAATTGGGCTAATTAGAGTTTTAATGTCCAGTGTCTTGAATTCTTTATGTATTTTGGAAATCAGACCTTTGTCTGATATGGGGTTGGTGAAGATCTTCTCTCAGTCAGTCGGTTGACTTCCTGTCTTACTGACAGTGTCCGTTGAATTACAGAAGCTTCTCAGTTTCAGGAGGTCCCATTTAATCATTGTTGCTCTTATTGTCTGTGCTACTGGGATTATACTTTAGGAAGTAGTCTCCTGTGCATGGTGAGAGATATGGATCTATTTTCATTCTTCTACAGGTTGACATCCAGTTATGCCAGGACCATTTGTTAAAGATACTTTCTTTCTTCCATTGTATAATTTTATCTCCTTTGTCGAAAGTCAGGTGTTCATAGGTTTGTGGGTTAATATCTGGGTTTTCAGTTCAATTCTATTGGTCAACATCTCTGTTTTTGTGCCAATACCAAGCAGGTTTCATTACTACAGCTCTGTAATAGAGCTTGAAGTCAGGAATGGTAATGCCTCTGAAGTACTTTTATTGTATAGGATTGTTTTGGCTATCCTGGGTTTTTTGTTTTTCCATATAAAATTAATTATTATTCTCTCAAGGTCTGTGAAGAAGTTTGATGGGATTTTGATGGGTAATGCATTGAATCTATAGATTGCTTTTGGTAGAATTGCCATTTTTACTATGTTGATCCTCCCAAGCCAAGAGCATTGGAGATCCTTCCATTTACTGGTATCCTCTTCAAAGTTTTCTTCAAAGACTTAAAATTCTTGTCAAATAGATATTTCACTTCCCTGGTTAGAGTTACTCCAAGATACTTTATGCTATTTGTGGCTATCAGGAAAGGTGATGCTTCTCTGATTTCCCTCTCTGCTTCTTTGTTCTTTGTGTATAAGAGGGCAACTGATTTTTTTGGAGTTGATCTTGTATCCTGCCACATTACTAAAGGTGTTTATCAGCTGTAGGACTTCTTTGGTAGAGTTTTTTGGGTCCC